CAGGAATTTGCCACTGACTTCAGAACCAGCAACTTCCCAAGTATCTCTCAAAGCATATTATAATACCTAAGAAACAAGCGTGTATTCTTGGAACAATGTGGGAACTTTCTGTTTCCACAGATTTAGAGACTGTAAGTTGTAGTATTTCATCACTGAAAGTAAATGCCTCTGATCAAGTAGTTACACCGGGTATGGGCAAGCAGTGTTTTGGTTCTGAAGTAGCTAAAGTTAGTGTGCAACTATGCTTTCATTTCTTTTTTTTCTCCTGTCCAATTTCAAACACTAGATTCAGCACCATAAAGCTGTATAGATTGTGTGAGCTTGTAATGGACAAATCCCAGGATGTTGTTTTGAGATCCATTTAAATAACAGCTGATTCTTTGGGAGTAGCTCAGAATATTACAGAATGTTGCAACGATCATGAGATCATTGGTTCCATTCACAAATCTCGGCATGCTCTAAATCTGATGCTTGTCTCAAAAAGGAAGGCTATGAGGTTAAATATTACCCCTCTGTGAACTGATGAGTACTTTCTTTTGTTTGACATTAGAGTGCATCTATGCTGATGGGTTGGGGATATTTTTTAATGGTCTCCATAGAAATTAATGGAACCATTGAGTCTTCAGGCAGCTTTGACAGATAAGGGAATACTCCCAGCGTTGTCTCTGCCAATTTGCTTCCCAGGCTACTATGTTTTGCATAAGACCTGTACCAAAAGAAGCAAGAGAGAAGACTGACAAAACACCAGTGCTAGAAGTTTTGTGCTAAGTCTGACCTTTTAGACATCCTGACATTTTTCGGTCCATGTGCTATGGGCAGCACACAGAAAATGGAGAAATTATTTTGCTTTTCTTGGATAGCATTTACAGATTTGCATTAGAACTGTTCCAAGTGGCTTGGTGGATCCTGTCTTCGCTAAATTACAGAATATAACAACTTAATTTTAGAATTTTTCACATTAACTAGCAAACAACATATTTAGCTATCCACTGTCACTAAAACAATTTCCCTTTTGAATTTCAGGCAGCATAGCTTGATGAGGATATGAAGCCCTTAGCTTTGTGCTACTATCCACGATGTGGATCCATGTCTCTCTTCATCTGATGAATGTCAGAAAGGAAGTACTTTGGTCTGTTCATTCATAATAACCAGGGATCCTGGTTTCCTCTGTTTTAAAAATCACAAAATCTCTGATAAATACTGAATATTCTCTGATTACCCGCCCCCAATCTGTGATTAAAATGAAATGCCATTATAAATGTAGGTATCAATTGAACACAATGTTTTATTGGTACATTTAGAATTTTAAAGCAGTTTGGAAGCTTACCAGTGACTTGATCATTATAAATACCTATAATTTTGGTATTTGATTTTGGGTTTTTTATCATGGAAAATCAGAGTTCACCCTGCCCCCTTTGCTCACTAGGAGACAGGTCCAGCACCCAAGCCCTGGCTGCTGCCCAGAGGAGGCACCCGTGGGCAGGACCCAGAGTAGAGGGGAAGAGCAGGGTCAGGCAGGGAACCTGCTTGCTGCTGCTATGCACGCCACCATAGTGATATGCTCCCTGCCAGCCCAGCAGCACCAAGGGGCAGAACTCTGTGCCACCACCCCCGCTGATGCAGGTGGCGTTTCTCTAGGATGGTGTGGGACTCATAGCAGCAAGGAGCTTCCCTGCCCTACTCCACTCTGCCGTGCTGCACCGGGTCCCACCCACTGTGGGGAGGGCAGCAGGCCTGGAAGCCCAAGCCCATAGTAGGCAGCGCACATCCTCCCCTGCCCCTGCTCTGTCCACATATCTGGGGGGCACATGACCTCCCTGCCCCTCTCAGGAGCGTGCACAGCGGCATGAGTCGGTCCCCACCCTCCCCCCAGATGAGTCACCTGCATCCCCATCCCACTCCCCTATGCGACCCTGTGTCTGTGCATTCCAGTCCTAAGCCCCAAGCCCCAATTACCACCCAGCTGGGTAGCAGCTCTAGTCCTGTCCAACTCCCTGCCTCTCTCCCTATGGGGGCCTCAGTTCCCCCTTCCCCCGCTCCCCCCAACCAGACTTACCTGCAGGAGCTGCTCTCCAGGCTGCCCAGCAGGCATGTGCGTGCGTATGTGCGTACATGTACAATGGTGCCTCTTGCCTGACCACCCTTCTCCCGCTCCCCCCCCCCCCCCCCTTTTGCAGGCTGGAGCTCTGTCAGCCTGCAGCGAGCTCTTTGCAAAACTGCAAAATCTGTGTGTCTAATTTGATTATATTAAATGCGTCTCTCTCAACATTTTATTTTCTCTCATTTTCTGGCATCCTTGGTACTTTTAGCCCAAGTCTGGCTATCATGTTGTTCCTAACATTATTTCCATGGAAGACTCTAAGCCTTGCTTATATGGAGATCCTTAATATGGATACATATAGTGCAGCTTACTGTACAGGAGGCAGAAGTGCAGGTAGTAACAAATCAGATGTGCTTTATTTCTATGGTTACTTTAGTTGGTTTATTATCATCATGAGTAAGATTGGAAGTAATGTCTAGTGTTTTATAAAAAGACAAACACTCTATATAGGACTAGGGGAAAATGAACTGTGGGAAAGAGGAGGAAAAGGCAGGGTAGACATTGTCAAAAAAGGTGGCATTTGTTTCAAGTCCTGGGTAAGGAAAATGCTTCTTCTCACTTAACTAATACGAATGAATTCTATATTGAAACCCCCCAGGCCTCCAAATAGGTGCTTATTTTAGAAGACGCTATTCAGAATTCCGTTGTACTTGATTTATTTCTTTAGGTGGGTTTTTTCCCTTGAAAACCCGAATTTCTCTCCCACATATCTTGCCAAAGCAAGTATTATGATTTTTCCAGTCCATCCTGTGGCTCAGACTTGTTGTCTTTAATATTTGACTTGTTCAGAGCAGCATTCAACACCTATCACTACTCAAATAGCAAGGCAGTTTCATGTTTCTGTGGGTACAGAATTTAGGAGAGTTAAGTCATTAATCCATTAGCCGTATGGTGGTTTAATGATATGGATTCATTCCCACCTTACAGTCTTGTTCTCCATGAGTAAGCCTGTTCATAGGGTGTTGAAATGTTCACTAGTCCAGCAAATCTATTTAAAACATGGAAAGAAACCAAGAATAAAGCAAGAAGTCATGTGTGCATTGATGTGGAAAAAAAAATACTACATAAACTGCCCAAAGGAAATCTTGGTACACTTTTATGTATCAACTAACAAATTGCCCATTAAGAATGGGTGGGGATGGAGCGTAGCCACCCATCACCTTGCACCACTGCCTCCCAGGAGCAGAAGGACTGGGGAAGCTTGCCCGTAGCCACTGCTGCCACCCTCCACCCTGTGCTGCCACCGCTCTGCATCTGACTGCATGCTACCCACCCCCACCCCGGCTCTGTGTCTGGCTACATGCCACCCCACACTCTGAGTCTGACCCTGTACCTCCCAGGAGCAGGGGGGTAGCATTGTGGGGGAGGAAGCTTGCATGCCACCACCATCCCATGCCGCCACTACCTCCCAGGAGTGGGGGTGTGGGGAAAGCTTGTCGTGCTATCCCCTCCATCCTCCTCCACTAGCACCTTATGCTGCTGCCGCCTCCAAGGAGCAGGGCTGTGGGGGCAAGGCCAGCAGCCCTGGGCCCCCCCAACTCTGTCCCCACTGTCATGGCAGCACTCTGCCATCTCACGCTGTCCCAAATGTTCCCTGCAGAGCACTCTGAGCAATTGGTTGTTTTAGTGAGCATTGTGATTGGCTGCTGAGACGACCAGAATGCTCCAAGACCATTACAGATGAACAGCTACACAGACAGGCGGACTAAACCCTTATATATATCGATTATATATCGATATATAGATATAGAACAGACATATACATACATATATAGTCTGTGTATGTCTGTTCTATAGCTATATATCTTTATATAGATATATAGAATGATCTCTTATTATGAATGTTGACAGTTTTTAGAGTTGAAAGTAGCTTCGTTTTATTTTATGTTCGTATCTTTCCACATCTTTCTTCTGATATGATACTTTTAAAAAATTTTCTGCATAGTTTATGCATACACTTTATAAGGGGTATGGCTCTACAGTACTATCTAGTAATTTATTTTTTTAAATATTTTTCATTCAGTAACTTACTTAGTTTTTTCATTAATTTTTAAAAAACTATTTGGGGATTAACCTTTTAAAATAAGTTCCTAATAGGTTTAACCATGAAACTGTTAACAATTTTTAATAAGGAGAAAACCTTAGTCTCTCTTTTTTTTTTTTTTTTTTTACCATTAGAATGAGTGAAGAATAAATGTCCTAATCACAAACCATTTTTATAATTAGCTGCAGACATAAACAAGAAGAAAAATCATTGGTTGGTGTCTTTTAAACAACCCACTGTCATAGTTTGGGGGGGCGGTTC